ATTTTTCTTGGTAAAACGTAGTTTTCGTGATCTCACCTAGACATTTCACCAATCCTATTTTCAATGACACAAATTGGGATGTTTGGAAGTCCTAATATCTGTTTAAATGTGTGGGTTTTCTTTAAACACGCACTGGTGTTTAACTTCTCATCTTCTTTCCTTTTTACGTTGCAATCTAACATTGGAAGCTCTCCTTCCTGGCATTCCAATTCATAAGTGAATTGAATTGCCTCTACCTTCGAGTTGATGTGTACGAAAAATTTATCTATACCTTGTCTTTTAAGTACAGTGAATGTGTCATCTACATAGCTTCACCATAATTTTAGGGTTGGGGTGAACGATTCAATCGCTATCATTTCCCACCTATCCATGAATATATCTGCTACAACCGGGGATATTGGTGATCCCATGGTAAATCACTCAGTTTGCATGTATATATTACCCTGAAAATTCTAAGGTAATTAAACAAGAGGGAAACGTGACTAACTCACTAGAATACCTACAACCTGGAAATAAAGAATATGTTGGATGAAGCTCCAAAGATAGGACTTCAGGTGCACACAGAGAAGATTAACCCGAAGATGAAACCTGAAAAACGAATATAACAAAGAACCACTAACACTAGATCCAATAAATCATCAAAAGTTGAATTGGAAGAAGATTTGGGGGCAGAAATATCAGTAAACAAGACAAAAATAAAACTAAGCCGAAAATGAGTAAAAACTACTGCTGTACAACAATCTAAAGACTGGAGACTACAGACTTCAAATTATCTCCAGGTTTCACTCCATCATTCATTTCCTCATGAATATGCCGGTATTAATGGAACAATTTAAAATCCACGCAGCTATGGAATCGCCTTTACATCATTGTGAGTTTTGATTCATTTGTTTGATGTTGTTTACTATTCACAACTTCAGCTTATGTTTTGATGTGTTGTTTATCACAGGGAGTATTTTGTTTGCAGTTGTCAAAACACGTATGCATTGGACGTGTGTATCTGAGATGTTTTCTTGTTTCTACCTACCATAATATTTGAATGGTTTATTACTTTGCGTGACAGATATTGTTTATCTTTAAACCTTCTCATGTACGCATTGCCTGTGACGTACTTTCTTAATGTGAGAATGGTTTCGTGAACCCCATTTAACTCTATGTTCACTCACTTCTGAATCTTCGTTCGTTGAACCGCCTATCATTCTTTCCTTTCACAATTTGGCTTGGTAAAATAGTGCAGTTTATTCATAAAAATTGGGTGTAGAAGGCACAGTTTCTCGTGTATGTTTGAACAAACTCCCTTCAGTCTACAGTTTGTTTCTTCAGGAATGTTTCAGTCCTGTTGTATTCAGTTTGGTTGACCCACATGGATATAAATGGAATTCACTTGCTCTTACTCGTCAGGTAATGTATTCAGATCAGAATGTGTGATTCGCTCGATGCGACCGATATAAGAATACTCAAGTTTACAGCGTCCAGTGTTGAGAAGTGCATTGAAACACCTGCGAGCGACTCCCAGTCTCAAGTAGTCTCATTGGCAGCAAAGAGACAGTTGTATTCGGTTAGATGTGCGACATTGTTACATAGCAATAATGATAATGGCATTTCGAAATCACTTCAACATTGCCGATAGGCAGCCGTACCATACAAGGAGTTCTCACCTACGAATTGAGTACTGTACAAATAAATTAGTTAAATTAACAATCACCGTCAGCATTTTCTCTCGTAAATAGAAAGGAATATTCCAAACACGGGTGGCGTTGAATTACTGCAGATAAGAATCCAACACTTTCTCCTGATAGTTGAATGTAGAAGATTCTGAGGATATTTCGATCTAATGACATAATACCGATTTCACTCTAAAGAATATTACCGGAAATGTTGTTCTTTGCCTCATGTGGTAGAATTGTTCCCGATCATTTCTGAAATGTTAGTCAGTAAGAGTGACGAATTTCCTCCATTCTCCTCTTATCATCTCCAACATTAACACAATATTGCATGAATACTATGAATATCATTTTTTATATATTTTCCATATTTTTTGCAGTAGTTGTATATGACCATGTGCTATTTACTGGTAGTTTTATTCATATTAATGTAAGCAGAACGTACGGTTTGCTCCGTTCATCAAAGACTGACAAGGGAAGTCATTTTAATTGACTTTGGGTTTTTAACCGGAATAACTACTGTCCGTGAATCACCGAATTTCGAATTGCAATACAATGTTATTTACTTCATTTGTAGATGTTCGCTTCGATTGATTGGACCAAAGTGCTTGATCTCAGGTAGTCATGTTGGGTTATTGTGCAAATTCATCCCTGATGTCTGGACATTTCTTTAGAATTTAACTTGTGGATGGTGAGAGGCATTGGAATCCAGTGTGCATATGTCGTCCTATTTGAGACTCGTCAATTGGATGTACCTGCCTTCGACAGTGGGTGATGATACTCTCACCGAGGCTCGAACCCGGTGCCCATAGTTTCCAACGTCAAAGTGTTATCCACTATACCACTTGCCCGACCGAAAGCTGCTACCTTGACGTGGTGGTCGGGCTTGAACACCGCAATGACCCAACAAGCTATACTGGCTGAGACTTATGTCTCTTGATGTCCTACCATGCCAGAAAGGTTGTTTGGATAGCGGTTGGACAAAAAGCAGCTACCCAATCAAATACCATGATATAAACAAACTCACAAAATTTCATGCCGGATCGGCCGGTGCCCGGATTAACAACGACCGCGCTTCCTGCTGCCGTGTCACAGGGCAGGAGTGATAAATATGCTGCTGTGACACACCAAAAAATAAAGAACAAACAAAAACAGGCCGCGTGTGACCGGCCTCAAGCAGTTGTCCCCTGGGCTCTGCGGTCACGCAACCAACTTCCACGGTGTGGGCAGCCGGGAAGTAACAATCGCCCTCACAATCCGAAATGCACATGAAACCTCTCTAATCACACTCATCTTTGTCTTCATCTTCATCTCTATCATCTTGCCTTCCTTCCACTGATGCAACTCCTCTACTTGATAGCTCCTCACTTTTTCTTCACTCTGTGTCCACTAAAAACGATGGAAGCCAAAAAACCACCACCGACAGTCTCCTAAAGCCACGCCACCAATTTCATATAGGAGCATTTAATGTTAGGACACTTTGCCAAATAGGACAACAAGCATCACTAGCCAAGACCCTGGCATCCCGAGCCATTGATGTATGCTGTGTTTCAGAAACACGCATACAAGACCCAAGTGTGGTTATTCACCTAACCCCACCTGGCCAACAGGTTGAATCTGCAAAATTCACCTTGAGGGTGTCAGGAGATGCCACAGCTAGTTCACGAGGATTAGCTGGTGTAGGGATAGCTTTGAGTACTAGGGCAGAAAAGACATTGCTTGACTGGATCCCGGTAGATAGCCGAATGTGTGCTGTCCGTCTGAACGGATCAGTAAAAAGAAGGACTGCACTACTCGCCGATGCCTTTTCGTAATCTCCGCCTACGCCCCCACTGACTGCAGTTCAGATGAAACGAAGGATGAGTTCTACCAAAAGCTGTCTAGTTTGGTGCGAAAGGCTAAACGCTCAGACATAGTCGTTCTAGCTGGTGACTTTAACGCTCAAGTAGGGAAATTGTGTCAATCTGAGAAGGATGTCGGTGGCACCTATGGAGTTCCGTGCCAGCGAACCGACAACGGTGACCGTCTCCTACAGTTCACTTCTGATAATCATTTGTTTCTTGTAAGCACTAACTTCAAACACAAGGAGAGACACTGTTTGACTTGGAGACCCCCTTCATCAAACCAACGCTGGACACAAATAGACCACATAGCAATAAGCTATCGTTGGCGTGGGTCGGTAGGAGATTGTCGCTCCTTCTGGAACACGTGTGTAGATACCGACCACGCACTGGTCCGCGCTCGTGTGTGCTTACGACTGAACGGACGTAGGAAACAGCTGGCGGTAAAACCATCACGTCCCCAGCTCGATCAGGAAACTAAATCCGTATTTGAGGAAGAACTAGCTAAACACATATCTGTGTTCGACAGCTGTGCTCACCCTGAAGAAGCTTGGAAGAATATCCAGGCAGCCATAGATACAGCTGTAAAAGCTGTGAATAAGGTAAACCCAAAGGTGAGTAAAAACCACTGGATCTCCACCGCCTCATCCGAACTGATAGATGCTAGAAGACTTATTCCGGCGAGCTCCGAATTCAATGAGGAGCGAAAGCTGCAAAAAGGAAACTTACGAAAAGTCTCCGCAAGGACCGTGAACAGTGGTGGGTGACAAAAGCGAAAGAGATGGAAAAAGCATCGGCGATAGGCAACTCTTTAGACTCATCAGGGAAACGGGTGGGAGAAGACAAATCATTAGTGAAAGAATCTCGGAAAAAATGGCACCACCATAATAGACGACTGGATCGCTGGAAAGAGCATTATGAGGAGCAGTTTAATTGGCCCACAGCCACGCTCAACCTTCCGAACATCCAACACCTCCCTGAATGGGATATAGACACAGGTCCTCCGTCCCTAACTGAGGTTACTAATCTGAAACTAGGCAAAGCAGCGGGACCTGATGGAATGACTCCAGAGGTATTTAAGTACGGTGGAGACAGTTTACTGTCTGCATTAACTGAGGTACTAGGCAGCGTCTGGGAATCAGAAGAAGTCCCATCGGGTTGGTGTAAGTCACTGATTATCCCCATATACAAGAAGGGAGACAAGTCTTCCTGTGATAATCACAGAGGGATTAGCTTGACTAATATAGTATCTAAAGTCCTAGGCTCAATAATCATGCGTAGACTAAGTGGTGCTCGGGAGGCACAAACACGAGAGAGCCAGGCAGGCTTTAGACCAGGAAGAAGGTGTATTGATCATATCTTCACCCTCCGACAGATTCTAGAACATAGGCATTCCTACCGGCGTCCAACAATCATTATATTCCTTGACCTAAAGGCGTCATTCGGTTCTGTCAACCGAGAGGTTCTCTGGCGATGCTTGGCTGTAAAGGGAATTCCGAGAAAATACATTGCACTGATTAAGGCACTCTACTCGTACTCATACAGCCAGGTGAGGGCTTACGGCGAGTTGTCATCTGAACTGGTGACGACTAGTGGTGTCCGTCAAGGATGCCCATTATCCCCTTTTCTATTCAACTTCATCATAGATGTACTAATGGACTTAACCCTAAGTGACTTCAGCGACTCAGGGATTGACTTGCTACCAGGGAATAATCTCGTTGACTTAGAATATGCAGACGATATAGTCCTTCTAGGCGAGGACGCTGACAAAATACAGAGTCTTCTAAACACCTTGAGCTGCAATCTACGAATGTTTGGCATGCGATTCGCTCCCGCCAAATGCAAGATGATGTTACAGGACTGGACTACACCGACTCCTAGATTAGAAATAGGAAGTGAAGTGGTAGAGCACGTTGTCCGCTTCACTTATTTGGGAAGTACCATCAGCCAGTGCCAACGGGTTGATCTCTGACGAAATCTCAGAACGGATACAGGGGGCTCGTTCCGTATTTGCCAGTTTACGCCGTCTCTAGCGTATACGAGATATCCGTCTATCGATCAAAGGGTTGGAGTACTGCTCATCTGTCCGCCCCGTCCTCCTTTATGCCTGGCTGTGAGACCTGGCCATTGAGAGAGGGAGACATGGAAAGCCTGGCCAGCTGTCTTTGATCATAGGTGCCTGCGTTCTATCTCCCGTGTGAAGTGGTATAATAAGGTGAGCAATATTGAGGTTAGGCATCGAATTCTAGGTAGGCAGGGGAAATCAATCGACGAGGTTGTGAAGTTACATAGAGTGAGATGGTTAGGACATGCGTTAAGTATGCCTAGCCTAGTCATCGCCTTCCTCGACGAGCAATGTTAGCTGCTATAGGGTCAGGCTGGATAAGAGCTAGCGGCGGCCAAACCAAAACATGGCACCAGTCAATGAAATCCATAACAGTTAGTCTAAGCCACTTAGGAAGGTGTAAACTCCTGATTGGGGTCCTCAGGACGGTAAAACCAGTGGTTGGAAACAATTGGTAACATAGCTCAAAATCGTTATCAGTGACTGGTGCAGATGCATCCACTCCTTGTGACTTATGATTTCCAATGAAACTGTTTTGTTCTTCGTTATTACTTTGCTTTGCCTCACACCTCTGTTTACTGTCTCTATTATGCATTTCTTCTACTTTCTTCTTTTGCTTTGTGTGCTACATGAAGTATGGCGACTTGAACTGCCGCACATATGTGCAAAGTTCTATGTGAATAACAGACAGACAGGCAGACTATACCACTTGAGCCAAATCCAGCTGACGAGTCACTGATAGGACGAAATACGCACCTTGGATTGCACAGCTAGTCACCATCCACCACTTGAATTCTGAAATATAATAAGAGATTAAAATGCTTGAGTGACATCAGATATGAATTGAATATACGTTATCTGATCACTGGCAGGGTGGTTAGGACTCTCGCCGATCATGCACATGGTCCAGGGTTCGATCTTCCGCCAGCGCACACTTGATATCTATGGTCGGCCTGCAAAATTTGGTCTACCGATATCACATGCTGAAATTTCCATACTTGTACCAAAAATACGGTGTGGCATCAGGCTGTAATCAAACTAAAAAATAAATAAAAAAGTAGTAGAACAGGGGCAACCAGACTAGTGGAGCAGAAAATCTCGCAAAATCTAGATTAGTTGACCCGAATAGGAGTAGGATGAGATAGGATGACAGTTTTAAAATCTAATGTCACAGGATGGAGGGAGAGACCGATAACAGAAGCTTGTTTATTTAATCAACTGCAAATACGTGTACGGTAGGAAGTATAACTTCATCATGTAATAGTTTACAAATTGTTTATGCTCACTGATATAAGAATAAAACTTGTGAAGTGTGGTAGAGTATAATTCCATTATGGGTAGATTTTGTTTTTATATAGTCTCACAGTGTTATACAGTAATGTTTACTGATGACCACCTTTCGAACACAATTTATTGGTCATAATCATATCAAGGTACTCACACGATTTCCTAACTTCAGTTATATAGTTCCATTATTTTTCACTTGATTTTCATTTGATGTGATTGGCAGTAGTATTTTCCATATTTCAGATTTGAGTGATGAATCATTCCTATTGAATGTGTTCGGTGTAGACTCGATGAACAAGGATTCAGTAATCAACCTCTCTCTCCACCTATCTAGATTAATTTTTAGAATTTTAACCCTCTCCCACCCTGTGTGTTAATGCATGCATTGCAATTGCTGGGCTTTTGTCTAAATTATTTATCTAAATTACAGGGTCAACCATTCTTACCATAGCTAAATTCTTATGTTCTGGCAATCTGACTACCCCTGACCTACTAGTTTGACCTATGTAGTTGACCTCACAGTCATTGCATGGTATTTTGTAAATAATATTATTTTGTCTAATTGGGTCAACTGGGTCCTTTAACCTACACAGATTGTTCCTGAGTGAGTTTGTAGGCTTAAATGTCACCCTAATTCCTGCTTTATTTACAATCCTACGTAGCGTCTCAGATGTCCCCTCTTATTATGGCATAACCGTAGATGACTTATATTCTCTCTTATTTATGTTATTATTACTAGTCACACAATTATTTTCATTTTTCGTTTGGCCTTTTTCGATCTTCCTAATGAATTTTGAAGGATAGTTATTTAACATCAATGCCTCTTCTATCTGTTTTATTTCATCATTTAGATCTTTTTTTGTGCTACTTAGTGCCACTGCTCGGTTTGTTAAACATTTAACTAAGCCTGCCTTAACAGTTAAAGGATGAGACGAATTAAAGTCTAAATATCTACAGCCAACACATACAACAGGAATGATTCTTCACTCATACCCGAAATATGGAAAATATTACTACCAATCAAATCAAGTGAAAAATAATGGAACTATATAATGAAGATAGGAAGTCGTGTGAATACCTTGATATGATTATGAGCAATAAATTGTGTTCGAAAGGTGGTCATCAGTAAACATTACTGTATAACACTGTGAGACGATATCAAACAAAATTTACCCATGATGGAATTATTTATGTGAATCAAAACAAGAATATTCTGATCGTTTCGATATGTAAGCCAGGGCTTCTGCAGCAAAATTATTCAGAATTTATTAATCCTCGAATTACATAGTCAAAAATGTTCACACAAATTGAAGTCAATAAAGAAAAAAACCCATTTAGACACTTAGAAAACAGAAAGATTGAGCGAAGAAATATTTACTTTCGATTAGATCCTCATTTTTGACTCTACTCTAATATATATAGAATTAGGTTATATATTATTAGGTTGTATCACTCAGCATGGTAATTAGGAGCCGTTTCGTTCCAATCCTGCTGTTACACACGCTTACCTATTATCACTTTTTCAGCTGCACCAAACTCTACTTAATAACTCTGATTAAACTTGTGTGTGACTGAAGACTATTCAATCTAAGCTACAGAAGTGTGAATGACATTTGACTGATTGAAACACACTTCCATATATCAAATATGTATGACATTCTGTATTATATTCTGATTGCTTAATAACAGTTGAAATTTTCATACATACCCGTTGCTTATGAGTAGATTCAAAGGATTTGTTATTCTGATGTTAACGTTAAATGTATAATTTTTTATATTGGTTTCAAAAACTTTGTTTATGAATCAAAACTGACCAGAAATGTAAAGTTTGCACTTCAACATAATCTTGTGTAGCAGGAAATATCAGGAATATCGATGCTATACTTTATTGATACATGTTCAAGCGTTCCCGATAACTGGCTTAGTTACTATAAATACCATGAAAAATGTGTGTGAGATTGTTAATGGGAAAATCTGTCTTTTGTTTACGTTTTATTGCTGGTATCCCACAGATACATTCTAGAATCGTATACCTGTTACTCCTGAAACTATATTTGTTTTCATAGATTGCTAGACGCGTTTCTTCTGTAATTTTCGGCGTATATGATCCCGCAGCTGCATGATCATCATTCATTTTGACTGCCATTATGATCTCATAATTGTATCTTAACATATAATAGGTAAGTAATCTTACTTGCCATAATGTAAACAGCACGTGCAGCAATCTGCTTATTATTATTAGAAAGTATTAAAAGATAACCTTTATATTGCAGTAATACTTTGAATAAACTTGTTGATATATATACTTCTCATAAAATATTACTGAAATTATTTTAATCAAATACTGAATGGTTGTGCATGAAATAAATTCATAGTGTATGTAACTAAGTTAATGAATAGTTAGCATACATTATTAACGCTGACGTCAATATTTTTAGAAATACCAAAATTCAAATGTTAGGGACTAACTTGAATTATTCACTGAACAAAAAATGAATTTTGAAATGTTCCTAGGAATTAAGCTGTTAGTTCCGAGTTCTTAAATGTAGAGGAAAATTCAAATATATTATCATTGTTCTAAGTTACAGCTAAAAGTATGTTCATTTAAAACTCCTCAATGTACTTTTCACAAATTTGGTAGCGAATAGTTGATTTTGCTTATAAGTTCCTCTCTTTTAGACTAAATGAATGTAGAAGTCATACTCGAATTACAATCATAAATCAACCACCTCCATGAAGGGCTCTACTAACGATAAATCAGTAGCACTCTTCCAAATATAAAACACGGGTTTCAACGAAGAAAATGTCCCTAGCAGCGATTTAATTTTCCTAGATATACAGTAATATTTATAATTGCATTACAATCGAGATATCATATAGATTTTGTTATGTGTACTACAATTTGACAGTGAGTGGCAATATCCAAGTACACCAATAATAGTGTGTATCATTATGAACCATAAATATATTTTGGATGATGATGAATGAATGTTAGTACTATGTGAAATAGCCATGATTTAATGGTTGGCAAGATGTTTAAGTGCTTTTAGAAGTATGAATATGTGAATTTGTTCAGTTGATATTGTAGAATGGAGAGGTGATATTTGTGAACTAAGTAAAACTAATTGAAATGTGGTAAAATAAAAGCAAATAACATGAAATAGAGATGAGTGGGGAATTTCTTGGGTCACGAGGTAAAACAGGGATCAAACAAATGCGAAAGTACATACAGATTGTGTCTTCACCCAGTATTCTTTGATGATGTTATGTAATGAAAAGACATCCACTGTATAAAGAGAGCGCACTCCTTATAAGTAATGAGTAGTATTGAGTTAAATGAGAGAGTATGAAATACAAATAGAAAAGTATTCTACAACGCTCCTTTAAAGCCAGCCTGGTTTTTCTTAATCTACCTTCTTATACGACGCTTAGAATACACAACTTACTCTTGCGACATCCTAACTCAACCTCATGCAGTTTGCTTGTTCGCTTAAGAAGGACATTCTAATGTACCCCGTAATCCCCTGTCACCTTCAACCAGCTCTATAACCACCCACAAAATTTGAATTCTCCTCATATTTTCCATATCGTTTCAGCCTGAAATGATAATTTTATCAAGTCCTGCCGTTTA